TATTTCCTGTTTTAGGTAGACAACTCCGATGAGGTAATATACTGGCTGAAGAGTGACCTACAGCACGCTAAGATGAAGATTGCCGACCTACAGAAACAGGTATCGTAAATGACCTGTGCTCATCTGCACTGAGTTTTGGCAACTTTATTCTATTCCCAACGCAGAATAATCATATACAGCGAGTTGGTTTATAATAAGCTGTGTGTGTACGCGGCTGTGTTGTTTGTGTGTATATGCGTTTTCCATCTTTATTTTAATATCTTTGGTTGGATGCATGCACAGTCATTCGTAGCGAATACCTGTTTTTATATACACATTGTTGTTTGCCATCTCTTGATATATGCATGTATGAATTATGGTTTCTATTCAGTATTGCACGCTAGGCTGACTTTATCGAATAAGCCAATTTCATATATTGACCGTGCAGTACGCTAGGCTGACTTTATCGAATAAGCCAATTTCATATATTGACCGTGCACATCCGGTAACTCGCTCTTCAAAATAAGAAATTGAGTAAATTATCTATCCTCAGACACCTCTACCTCCGTAGACGTCACTCCCTTTGTCACGATGTCACAGTAACTCAAAACAAAAATTGTTTATTAATTATATTACTAGCATAATATAAATAATATTAGCTTCGATTATATCAAGAGCTAATAAATACCTAAAATAAATACCTAAAATAGGTGTTTTTTAGCTCTTGATTATATGTATATTGTCATACAATATATATGTATATATATATTTATATATCAAGAGTAGATAATAACAAATGTCACAATGACATGTGACAATGACAATTTGTCACTATTAACCCCTGATATATATCAAGAGTAGATAATAACACATGTGTTGTTATTATCTACTCTTGATATATATATATATATATATATATATATACTGTTGATTATCGTAATAACTAAATGGGATTTCTCTCGTTGTAGGTGACAGAGAAGGACGTGACCTTGAAACAACTACAGGCAGCCGACCACAACCTCAACTACGCGACGACGGGCGACGCCGGCGACGGTGCTGCCGCCACGCGGCGAGCGCTCTCGCTGGCCGAGCAGCGCAACGACTTCCTCCAGAGGGAGCTGCGGCGCTACGAGCAGAAGCTGCAGACGCACGACGCGCGTGCGGTGCAGTATCAGAGTGGCGCCATCTACAGGAAGCAAGTGAGTGTTATGGCGGCGCGGCGAACTTCAGTTTCGTTTATAGAATTCTAGAAGATTTAGAGAAATTTCAAGTGAGTATTATTCCGATGTGATAGCGAATGCTTCTTGTACCCAAAAGTAGTGTAATTTTTATACTGGGTAATTTCAGTTATCTAATTTTGGTGTAATGAAATGAGAACTATTACTGTAATTTCGTAATTTCCTCCCCCCCCCCGACTGTAATTTCGTAAAAACATTAGTGAGAGGATAGATGGTTAGTATAACCATAAGTAACTAACAAAAATCACGTGCTGATACTTCAGTGAATAGTCTTACTCACCTATACTTACTCAATTACCACAAAATTAAAAAGCAGTAGGATCTAATTTGGTATGCAAGTTAATGTCTAATAAATTGAAATTCAAATGCTATTTCGTAGATCACAGACTTGGAGACTGAATGCAGGCAGCTGAAAGAAAGAGTTCGATTGGCTGAAGCAGCTGAGAAGCACAGCCGAGCAGAAATGACGCAGTTGTTCAGTCAGACGCCCTACATAAGAAATCCGGTATGTGTGCTATATATTATGTGTGTGTGTATATATATATATAT